GTGACGAGCTATAAATGGTCTTCTGGATAAGAGTTTTTTTAGGTCGAACAATACTTCTTTTATTTTTGTTTCTGGGGCAGTAACATTTTCTAAAACTGTGTCCAATATAAACCCATAATATTTTGCTTTTTGTGTAGGTTTTAGGTGCCTTTTTTCTGCCAGGATGAACCCACAGTCCCTTAAGTACTTTAATATTACTAGGTCTCTTATTTTTAATAATACTTCCCACTTGGGTGAGCAACCCAAATATCGTCGACATGGTTTTCACAAAATATTCTGCAGGATCTCCAATGCCCTATTAGGGTCCTCATAACTTTTGAAAATATCTATACCGCTTGGTTTAGGCCAAATAGTAGTACACAATAATGATACCAACTTGTTCCAATTACAAAACCTAATAATCTTTGCGCTTTTTCTTTTATTAATATATGGTGATAATCTTCTTTCAGGTCTAATACTATTATCCACCAATTTCATCTTACTATCCTTAAAAAGGTTGGAAACCCCTCGAATTTGAATGACTTTACAGGTAACATTTTGTTTAGTCGTCCTAGATCGATAATCAAATGCCATTTCTTTGGACCTGACTTCAGCACTAAGAAAATTGAACTTACCTCTAGTAATTGTTTTGGTCTTATCCTTGAATTTGCGACAAGTACTATTGCCTTTATTTCCAATAAATGATTTATTTCTGTCTGCAACCAAGACTGTTGGTCCTGTGTGAGTAGATATTGGGGTGGGTCTGGTTGCCTCATTAAATTTAACAATCCTTTCAGAAATAAGGGAATCCCATCCTTTAACCATTTGATTATTAGGCTTGGTGGTTTCACACTTTCTATCCAATACCTTATATGTTCCTTCATATGAATTCAACCCACCACCAGTATTAACTGTTGGGCCCGAGTGTAGTCACTCTTATTTTGTGTTATTCTGCCCTCTATTTTTATATTTATTTCTGTATGCTGCATATCTCTTTGACTTATACCCATAACGTTGGTATTGTTGTTGGTCAGAAGCTTTATTAGGATCTAAGACGCAGGTTCTCGCAAAGTAGCTATAGCCTCTGCAAATGTAATATTTATTTTGCAATATGATATCATTTTGAGACTGATAGTTGGAACGAAAAAACTTATTTCAGAACTCACTTTGATATTTATTATAATAGCTTGGTTGATTATTATTTTTTTCCTATAAGT